AGGTAACTACCAGGACTAAGCAGCTCCTATTGGTAGGATCCTGTGTGCATGTGTGTGTTGGCTGGATGTGTGAGGGGAGTTTGTTGGTGTCGGTCTAACATGCAAGTTGTGTGGCAAAGCTTGGGTTCAGGTTCTTCTGCTTCTGCTGTCCTGATCTGCAAAATGTATGTCGGGCCAGAGACATTGCAAGGTGGCTCTAAAGACTTGAAGTTCTTCTTTTAAGAAACTGCAGTTCATGTTAATGCTGCAGCTACTGTTTGGGTTTGTGAGTAAAATTGTCTATTTAGCTGTTTTATTTGCAATGAAAATGTGACCACTTTATAGATACACCAGTTATTTTTCTTCTATTGGCCAGATTCCAGTTTCAGATACATTTTTACTGGCAACAACCTTGATGAACTGTCAATTCGCCTGTCAAACACATCAGAAATGCTGAAAATGTCTTTCTTCTTTAATTACTTCCACACTAGAGTGTTTATCGCACATTTAAAGTGATTAAATTTACCTTCTAATGCATCTGTATTGTGTTTGCATATTGCATTTAAGCTGGACGAGCTCAGTACTTCAATAACTGCATGGATTTGTGTTTAGGTTGAACTAATAATTAATGAGGTGTTTAATATTGTCCCTAAAAGGACTTGGGGATCCTTTGGACTCATGTAGAAATGCACAGATATGAAAGTCCAGTCTGCTTTAATCAAACTATATTGTTTTTCTAGAAAGTCCAGTTTATTTCGGGGGGGAATTAATGAACAACCGAACTTTGATTGGACCAAAGAAAGTGAACTCTGGTCCCCCTAATAGCCTGGGATTCTGTTCGCTTGACTCTGGTGCGTTTTGATTGCATATGTGCTGTTTTTTTGTTTTTCACACAAAAGTCCCAAACTGGAACCTTTGTTGCATATTTCTAATACAGCCATAATTTTGACAATATCTGTAAATAACGACTATAGACAACCAGGCCTCTCCTCTCAGCCCAGCAGGGGTTAATTTTTGCTTAAAAAATTTATCAGATGGGACACTGGAAAAGACTATTGTTGTGCAAAGTTGAATTAGATTATCACTGAAATTGTTTAATCCTAAAATAGCTTCTCATTGCAAAACATTTTTATTTGATTTTTTTCAAAGAACTTCAAAGCTGAATGAATATAACAGAACTGTGCGCCAATCTGATGGTTGAATGACGCAGATAACGGGTTAAAAACAAATGTTTTTGTTGTGCTCTTATGGCTGCAATTAACTGGATAAAAAAATTACAATTAAAAACACAACAGTGGGACCTGGATGAATCTAGCTTTCCTCTCCGGTGCATGTAAACAGAAATTATTTGAAATCTGGGCTTTCTCGCTGCTGATTCTGCTGTTTTCTAGCTACTGCTGCTCAGTGTTGGAAGCATCTTGCAGGTTTCAGGGCGGTTTCTGTGCAGCCGTTTATCCAAAGAACACATTTAAAAAGAATTTTTCTGTTGTTTTGTGTTTCTGCAGGGCACGGCCCTGAAGTGGAGGCTCCCGCCCCGCTGCCCGCCACCTCAGCCCTGGAGGAGATGGCCCTCTACAGCAACAAACGCAAACTGAGGCAGGGCCGCCGCAGCCTGGAAGCCGCTGTGCCGACGTAACACAACCAAAAACATTAACCCAGAGAGGTCGGCTCTTCAGATATAACCACTGCAAAGACTCTGAAGCTTTTAGTCGCCACATAGATACTCACTTATATCCTGCGTGCCAGTCTTGCCTTTATAGTTTGTGGGTGAGTCGACGAGCTCCGTGCCTGGACGGGACGAGTCGGTGTGGTTAGCTAGGATTGCTACGTGCAGATGAATTATTTTCTTAAATCTTCTGTTTGCCTCGTAGATCAGATCTATTTTAACTTGAGGGTGATCAAAGTTTTTAGTTGTTTTTTTTATTATTATTATTTCTGCACCATTGTGATGTTGCTGTTATGAAAAAAAGCATAGTGAAACAGGAAATGAGAAGAAATGGGTTATAGTTTTACTAACTTCAGCGATTAGATTGTAAAATGTCTGTTTTTATTGATTTGAGGTGTAAATATTAACTGAGGAGGGAACAGCTTGCTACCTTCATCGTCATACATGGTGGAAAATCTTTTCTCTTGAAGCACATATCATTTATTCACTGCCCCGTATCATAATTTATTATGATTTTAGATGAATAAAAGGCCTTCATTCTACTTTTTCAACCCTTTTGAACTCAAGATGAGTTCCTAATACTCATCTGTATATCACTACTTGTATTTACTTTATAAAAACACTTAAATCACAAGAGGAATTGTAGTAAACATGATTTAACTGTTTGGACGAACGCGTCTACTTGCTGGTTTCTCTCATCCCTGCAGCCTCTGTTCAGACTAACCCTTGTTACATTCCCCTACAAAGAGGACAACTACACTGGACACAGCAGCAGCAAATACTCCCCAACTGATAGTAGTAATACTGGGGATCATGCATTTTATCATTTATCAATGGTACTTTCCCTTTTAAGGGTATTGTGTGTTTTTGTATGTTCTTTTTAATTCAATGTGAACCGTTAATGTTAATGCTACCCTGGCATCCTTTGCGTTATCTGGCTATTTCTTTTAATCACAGTGATATGAAGGTAGCAGGGAGTTTTATTTTTCTGACTATGGTTAACTTAAATCTGATGCCACTGAAAAAAAAAAAATCATTTATTGTGTGAATAATGTACAAAAACTGTAAGGAAGAAGAGAAAATATGGGTTGGAAACTGAGCCTGTCTGGACTGCTGAAGCATCTGGGTGAGGTTGAGGCTTGGGATGCCCTCCATCTAAACTGGGAGAGCTGCAAAACATTCTGCAGAATCACAGCATCGTAGCAATTTGTTAATTTAAACTGGGGTCTATGATTACTTTTCCATGTTGCTCTCACTGACTGAAATTCAGTTCATCATTTGCTGTTTGTTTTTTCTTTTTTTTTTTTATTTGTAGGCAACTACTTTTTTTTTTTTTTCCCAGAAGAGTTTCACTACATTGATGCCGTGTTTTTATGTTTTCTGTGTTTCTTATTTTTGTCTTCAGTTCTTTTTGGGGGCTTTCACTTGCTAACAGGCCGGAGGGTGTGGGGTCAGACGTCCAAGGGTCAAGGGTTATAGCTCATATAAGACTGTAACTAGTGAATTTGTACAACCAAAGAAGTCTATTTTGTGGTTCAGGAATAATAAATTTTACTTTTCATTTAAGAAGCTAATCCAGTCTGTCGTTTGTGCTTGGACAGCATGTGAAACAAAAAAACGTAAACAAATTTTGATTCTTCTTTTCTGTGCCCCCAAAGACACAAGCCTTTTGTTTCTTATTACAGTAATAAATCCCTCTTAACTTCTGTTTATGGCCAATCCTAAAGGCTATGTTTGCCTTCAGTCCAGATAAATAAGACTTGAAGAGGCACAAAATGAAGAACCTCATTTTATTTCTGCTTTTAGATTTTATAAACATGCAGAAAAGTTGGATAATTTTCTTGCTGTGTGGTGTTTGAATATGAAAAGTACAAGAAAAAATAGGTCTGAAATGATATAAACTTGCTTAAAGCAACATTTATTAAATATATATTGAAAACAACGGATTAACTCATATTAAGCCTTTGTTTATAGGTCCCTGAAATCTGAACTGGAGGTCGTGCACTACTGAACCGCCATCTTGGTTCGCAAGCGCAGTGTAAAGCTTTAATAGATGGCTTCAAAACCAACAAAAAAAGTTATATTGACACATTAACCACAAGACAAAAATATATATCAACAAAACCCTCACTATGATGATGGAAACACGTCAGAATGTGGACAAGCTTCCTAGGATCTCCTACTAAAACACACTAATGAGCCCATCTAGGCTCATTATTCTTGTACATGACCAGGTTGCAATCTGCCTGCATGATCAGCCGGAACACATCAGATCCGTCGGTGTCTGAGGCTCATGTTGGAATCTCGGTATGTGTTGTCGAAATTGTAGAAATTAAAACCCTTTATAGAGCAAACTATTTTCTGTTTAAAAAAACATCCTATATTAAACTATAAGACTAATCTGGGGAAAGCACAAAGATCCTTAAATTTAGACTGAAGTAGACCTGGCAGAACAGGATTCAGTGTAACTTTTAATAAAGCTGATGAAACCAAAGTTGCACCATTACACTTTCATGTTTGGAAAAACATAAGGCTATGAGAGAGTTATGTAATTTGCACTTCAATGTTCAAAGAAGTTTCTTTGCGTGAGAAAAACATTATTGCGAAATTGAAGCAGTTGAAGAGCCGGTTTAATATTTCTGCAGGCCTTTTGGACTTGAGCCACAGTTTGGGCTGAATCTCAGTCTTTCTTGTTGAAACTACAGTATATAAATTAAAATGTTTTTGTAGAGAAATCTATGAGAAACTCATCTAACTGTCACATGAAGTTTAAAAAGTTTGCGTGAGAAAAATGTTATTGCTCATTTGAAGCAGTTGAAGAGCCAGTCTGACATTTCTGCTGTTGAGAGAAAGTATCTTTTGATCTCTTGACACAAGAAACAGTTTGGTTTCCTTCATTTCACTTTTTCAGTGATAAGAAACTGACATATTCTGGTTGTTTACCTTTAGGTTACGGCAAAAGGCTCCCCAACTAAAGAACTGCTGGTCCACTGGCGAGTGGTCAAAGTGGGGAGTGAAGATTAAAATAAATATTAAAAGATTTTCTGAGAGAGAAAAAAGGGAAAAGACAAGGGCGTTCATCATGACAGCGATGAGGATAATGTGTAATGGTTTTTTTGTATTTAAATTGTGTTAATCATTGATATTTTCGGCCTGGTATAGCTTAACTTTTCTATGCTGCTTTGCAAATCACAGAAATGTTTATGTTTCACAAAAACAACTGTCTGTCATTTCTGCATGTTCTACATATGCATTTTATGGTTTGATGAAACATTTTGTTTCATCTGGAAATATGTTGGAAATAGTTTTTTCCCACAACAATTACCAATACAAAAATCTAAGAGAATAAAGTCAGTATTTTAGACAACACACAAGAAGGAAAATATGTTTATTATATTTCTGCATTGGATTTGACATGTTGTCTCTTACCATTTTGGACCAAGCAGCTAAGCTAACACTAGAAGATCCTTTGAAAGAGTAATTTTAAATGCAGAGAACTCAAACTAGTGAGATTTTTAATGCTACACCCTCATGCCTTTAGAATCGGCAGAGCTCCAGATTAACTTGGCGGCGCTGTACACCAACAGTTTGCCGTCATCAGTCAGCTGAACACGGCCAACATGAGAATCCTTCAGGTAGGTGCCGGTGTGCCATCTAGGCTTGTTGTCGTCGTTGTACATCACCAGGTTGCGATCTGCCTGCATGATCAGGCGGACCACATCAGATTGGTAGGTGTCAGAGGACCAGGTCGGTTGCCAGCCGTAGATGACAAAGTTTCCATCATTCTGCAGAAAAACAGAAGCATCTGTTGCAGATAAATCAGATAAAAAGGATAATATTGAAAATTTAAAGGGTCAGTAATGTTTCCCAGAGCCATTTTTTTTTTATTCAAGTTTTTATTAAGGAACAACATAGAAAATATATATCTCGTCCATTCACATAAGATGATATTGACCTGTACACGATCATTTGTTTATATTAATCAATACAGTTAACCCCTTCTTGTGATTGTCCCATCTCCAGTATTTAGTGTTCCCTTTTTTTTTTTTTTTTTTTCCCTCCTCTTCACTCCTCTCAAAGGAAGAGAGGAGGAAGAGCAAAACAAGTCAGTATCAACACTAGAATAACTTTTACGACCCTTAAAACCGAGGGTTCAATAGAGTAGCTAAGGAACAATGGGTGTCACCACAATCTCACTAGCTTCAGATCTGGTATTCATAAAAGTCCACCATGGGGTCCAACACTTTTCAAATTTGTCTTGCTCCAGTTTCAATGCAAATGTCAATTCCTCCATCTTGCAAATGTCTTGAATGATGCTTGTCCAGTTTTCTAATGTGGGTATTTTGTCCGTCATCCATTTCCGAGTAATTGCTTTTTTACTGGCAATTAGTAATATATTGAAAATATATGTTTTACAGAATCCCTTTACACAATCTGGTCGTTTGCCTAAAAGCATAATCTCAAAGCTTAGTGTAAGATTGGCTCCAATAACAGTCTCCACATTTTGTTTAATTGTCCTCCAGTAAGAAGACAGCTTAGGACAGCTCCATAGAATATGAAAGTGGTCTGCTTGTTCCGATCCACATAACCTCCAGCATGTTTTATCTACATTTCTGTCCCTTTGAGCTGGTGTTTTAAAGAAGCGTGTAACCGTTTTCCAAGCAAATTCTCTATACGTTTAGTGAAGATGTACATCTCCAGCAGTTATTCAAAATATCTAACCAGTCTTCAATGTGAATTTGGTGGTTCCCTTCCTTGTCCCATCTCTCCTTTATATATAGAGTGTCCCCTCCCTCCAGATTTTGTAGCTCGTCATACATTTTGGATATTAATTTAGTAGTAGAAGTTGATTGATATGATTTCAGAAAGATATTTAATATTCCAACAAATGCTCTGCTTGGATCTTCTGTATTTGTTTTGTCTAAATAATGCCGGATTTGTAGATAACGGAAAAAGTCTCTGTTATCAAGGTCATATTTCCCCAGAGCCATTTTATAGCATAATTGAGTAACTTCAGATTTTATGCTGTATATTTTGAATATGACTTCAAAAAAATTTAACACCTTGAAATTAGACCTGAAGATGGAGTTTCTAGTTGAAACATTGGAGAGAAACGTTGATTAATCATGTTAACGTTGATTAACATGATTCTCATGTTGGAAACGGAGTTTCTAGTTGAAACTCCACCTTCAGGTAGTCATCATATCGTTGCTCCTCTAGTAACCCTTTAACAACTACTTTACCAGTATTTCACTGAGAAGTAGCTCCTATAATGAGCTCAGCATTTGCTAATTGCTGCTGGCTAGTCTGAAAGAGCTGAATGGGTGGCAGAAGCTCCCAGGAGGAGCTTGGCTCACCCAGGCTAAATGGTTGCTAAAAGGATTGCAATTAAAGGATTTCCCAAACACGCATTAAAAATTTTTTAAAAATTAAAGCAACACTCTAGTTATGTTTTTGAGGATGGATACCATTAGGTCAATTTTATGTTGTGCTGCCCCTTTAAATTTACAAGATATGTTTACCTGGAAAACTGCCTTCCATTCTCCGTTGTTGGACAACAGATAATCTCCCCTGCGGAGCTCTTCGTTGTTGGACAAGTAGTTTCTGCTCATTTTTCTGAAACAAAATACCATGAAGTTGAAGTTGTGTGAAACAGGAAGAAATGCTATTAATGAATAAATACTCACAGCTTTGAATGTCCAGCTGCAGTCGATCTGTTTGGTGTCAGTCAGAGACAACGAGTGTCTTTATATCGTCTGTCCTGGGGGTGGAGAGGACATTTAGTAGATTACAGGGAAAGCAGATATTGGCCATAATTTCTCCTATCTGGACTTGTCCTCCCCATTTCCTCATGACAGCATCTCAGTGCTGCACCTTTGATATTTTGCATGCTTAAGATAACAACTGGAAAATTATTAAATTGTTATTTTACATGCATCCTCATGTCAGATGTTTAAGACAGATGAATTACATTTAAAAACACTTGGAAATAAACCATGTTGTTGTTTGGGGTTTTTAGGTTTTTAAATAAGACTGTCCTACTTTTAGAAGTACAAATGTTCAAATTTCTGTCAAATTGTTATTATAAATAAGTAACCCAGTGAGTGAGTTTATTCCTGAATGGCCTATAGAGAATGGTTGACTGAACTCTTACTAGTGTGGCTGAATGCCATGTTGGATTTGGACTTTAACCCGTTTTTCTCTGTAACAATTGTTTTTAAAATCAGCTAAACATTATTTCAGGCGAGTAATTATGTCCAATGTATGTCAAGATGCATTGTTGAAAAACATTTAAAACTTTGGTTCCATTATCTCTCCATCGTTACTGTAGCTCAATATTATTATTAATAATAATAATAATAATAATAATAATTTATATTTAAAATGCAATTTATCTTTACAGAAATCCAGATGTTGAACAAACTTGTTACATTTAGGTCCTTTAGTTTTTTTGTTTTGTTTTGTTTTTTTGAGAAATGTAGTTTTAGGAGTGTTTTTATATAAGTCTGTGTTTACTTTTACTTTGCTTTTACTTGAGTTACTCTGCTTACTGTGAGGAACTTCACTGAATGAAGCGCCAAAGATTCACCAGATATAGACCTTTTGTTAATGTTTCATAAGTTTTACATAGCAATACTTTGATTTTTCCCATTTATTTTATTTATTTATTTATTTTTTATATTAATTATTTTCATTGTGCTGCTTAAAATGCCCAAATTTTCCTGTAGCTTTATTTATTTTATTTTGGTCCTTACAATGCAAAAAATTGTTCCAATTATGTAATTTTTTAATATTAAATTATTAATAGTTACTTTTTTTAATCTTGAGTATTTTCTTGGACAACTACTTGAATAAAAATATGTTGAAGTAGCTTGAATGTAATTTTTTGCTACCTGGCCCACCTCTGCAGAAATATCAAAAACAATCACAATAACAGTTAATATAACTAGAAAATTCCTGAAGTAATTTAAAAGTGTGCCTGACGGTTTGGACCCAGGGTTCTGATGCTAGAATAGATGGTCTTTCACATTTGGAGCTGGTTCCATCCACATTTGGGCCTGTGCCACAGGGCTCACCAATGTCTTATCAGTGCCCACCTGAAAAGTCCTCTGGTAGCATCATTCTGCACCACATGGCTCCAGACTTCCTGGGTTGAATTAAAACACTTTTCCCAATTCCTGGTTCTCATGAAGGCTCCAGGCCTGGTTCTAAGAGAGGCTGCAGTCCCGGTTCTCTGTTACCCGGGCCTCTGGAGCTGTGTCCCGGGTTGAATTAAAAACACTTTAACAATTCCCTTCTCTTCCTTTGATGCTGCATAGTCTTCCAAATATGTGCTTTGTGCCCACACTTGGTCAACTTATGCATCTTCATTCTCTGCAAGTGTCACTGGAAATGTCTTATGAAATAGAAGCCAGAACAAGAGAGCAGTCCAGATGTCCTGCATGGGTACATCTTCCACAACCAAGACTTACTGCTAGCCGTTTCCGTGATGCTTGCAGAGGAAGTGCAGAGAAGGAGTCTGCTGCCACCGCAGTCAGATTGTGCAGGCACATCCACAGTCTGGTTGGCTATCACTGGGTGAATCCTGGTCCGCCAGCACGCTGTTATTCGCTAAATGGTGTTTCTTCTCTAAGAGAGACCCGCAGCCTAAGCAACGACGCCTGCCTGTCTGTCTGTGACCCCGCCAAGTGAGTCCAACCAGACTAACAAGGACTCCAGCAAACATTTGATGGTTTAATCCCTTCCAATATCTGAAAACAGATTTTTCCCTCCTCAGCTCTAACAGAACTGGGGAGAGGTCTGTTTGGTAAAAATGTCTGCCTGGATGGCGGACAGCTGCATGGATCAGACCAGCGCAGCAAGGAATGGATGTTGCCTCCAGAAATACCCATTCCCAGGTAAGACACCGTCTGGTGTCGCCCAGGTTCTGGAAAGCGGCATTCATCCAACTACTTTTTATTTCGTTGGAGAACTTAAAGTAGTTCTCCATGCTCTTTTGTCCGCATCCTGCACCTTCTGTCTTCCGTCCATCTGACACGTCTCTTCTGAATGATCCTCGTCTGCTAAACAGTTAACCCCAAAAGAAATTGTGACCCAACCATTGAGAGACGTTTTCTTGGGTAAATTACCATTTGCCTCTGACATACGTTCCCCAGCCGGGGAACTTGGTACCTCAAAGGAACTGGTAATTGTGCCTTTCAGTGCCGTCTTCTTTGGCTGGAACCACTGAAGCCAGGGCCTTCGCTGTCAATTAATATTTGCACAAAGATAGCAGCAACAAACCGCCCAGCAACTATCAGGTCTGAATTTATTTAAAATTATGAAAATTGTGAAAATAACAGCAGAGTTGTAAATGTTATCATTATTTTTACAGTTATAGCTGCTGGAAGGAAAGATCTGTGATAACACTCATTTGTGTGCAACAGTTTGTTTCTTGAATTACACATAAATCTAAACAAAGACGTGGAGCATTTGGAAACGAGAAGAAATGTTAAACATAGTTTTTGTTATGATATTTTCTAATATTAAAAATATTTACAAAATGTGTCACTTTAATTCAATACCAAATATTGAGAAAGTGTCTTAAAATAACTCAAAGCTATTTAATTCCCTTAAATTTCAGAATATTTAAATAGAAAATTCTTACTGGCAATAATTACTAATCCTCAATTTCTAAATTTCAATGCCTTGGCTTTTTCTGTCGTGGAAAGATAAGGTAACCGCTGTGGAATCTATTCAAACCAAGACATAAATATTCAAACAGTTTCAATGAACTTCTCGTTTTTACCAGGTCATGACAGATACAGACTCATTTGCATGAGTCATGATCAGCAGTTTTTCATTTATACAGCACAACAGTCCTGTAGTTGCAGACAGATGCAGAATTCAGTCGTCCATTTTGATCATCGTTCATATGTTTATTAATCATGCATTGCCTCTTTGTGTATTCCTCATAAACTATAAAGTATTTCCTTTTCTTTTGACAAACATAACTGCAGTGAAGAAAAAGAAAGAAGCCAGCATCCTGGGTCTTTTTGCCGTTTTGTATAAAACTCGTGCAGTTCCTCTCGCAACCACGTGGTGGCACTATTGCTACGTTTAAAGCGATGTGTGAGTACTTGTATTTCATTTCATATTTCACTGCCTTTTATATTATGATTTCAGAAATAACCTGTTTCTGAAGATGCAACAAAATGAATTGTTTTGTTTTGGCAACATTTATTGCCCTAATACTGTGTTGCTTGGGTAGAAAAACCCAGAAAGTTTGATGTTTGATATCAGAAATGTTATAGAAAAAAAACTTGGAAATCTGAGTTTGAAAAGCCAAAAATTTATTTTGCAAATAAAATTTTTACTACAAGACCCCTATATTACTAGGATGTACGAATATACATTCATGTGGAAACTTTTTTTACCCCATGCATATTAAATTTAGAAATGTTCTGTTACAAAACCAAAGCTCAAATTTAATATGAATTGATGCTAATAAAGAGCATTAAAAATGAATTAAGGAATCTTTCTTTGACATCCAGGATTAAACATTTTTTATTTCTACTAAAGTGACATGTTCTGTGTTACAAGACTGCAATTGGAATAAAGTCACTTTAGGAACTTAAAATGAATATAAGTCAGAGATTATTATGTCAAATGTAACAGTAAAACGAAAAAGAAAATCACACATTTTGACAGAGTTATTTATGCATGTGTGAAGTCTGTCTGGTGTGATGCGCCACATGTAAAGAACGTCTTTAGCCAGTGGACAGGGCCATAATAGTGGCACCGCCGGTTCTGTAGGTCATCTGCTTCCAGCGGTCCAACCGCGTTGTCACCATTTCCTGAAACAGGCGAGCACATCAACATAACGCACTTCCTCCACCAGCTGAAACGCATCATCAGAACCAGAAAGATGAAAGTTTTACCTGCGTGAGCCTGGGTCTCTGGATGCAGTGAACGTACGGCTCCGGAGTCATTTCTATCTGCTCATTCACCGTTTTATAGCAAATGGCACAATCCATCAATGGCTGTGGATGATAAAAGTAAAAACACCCAAAGTTGTAATCCTGTGAAAACATGGTTAATCTTTGGTTCTGGATCTTAACTCACTCTGTCGTTCCTGAACTGACAGCTACGAGAGCCTGAAGCTGGTGTTTCTTTGGCACATCTGGTGGGCCTCAGGTGGAAGTGATGGTAGAGGAAACGCACACCAAACCCTTCCTGCAAGACACCAGAATACAGATTTTTTAGTCAAAAACAGTTTGTTTTTTTAAGCTAAAATTAAGTGAATTTGCAAATGGATTGAATGTGCATAAGAGACAAGTCTTCCATCAATGCAGGATTCATAAAAGATTTTATAAATGGGTTGAATATTGGTTTGATTTCATATTATTCTGCTACAATAATATGAAATCAATTTTTTTTGTCAGTTTAGCCAAAACAAAACAGCAAAAACAATCACTGATGATGAGGTAAAGCACTGATGCTCTGATTTTGTACATATTTACCTTGTTGGTGTATCTTTGTGATATACACCATGTCCCAAATTATTATCCAAGTGGTATTTTCTCAGATTTTCCTAAATGTCCAATGCAAATGATGGTCAGTATAATTTTCAAGCCATAAACTGTTACACCACAAATCAAATTTTACTGGACAAAGCTCCCCATGAGAACAGTATTGTTTTCAAAAATAAAAAACTCAAAATGTACTGTTCCAAATTATTATGCACAGCAGATTTTCTAAACATTTT